GCGGTGGGCGATCCGGCTGACGTTCCTCGCTCTTGTGGTGCGCGGGCACTAACTTTATTGCGATATGAGAAAATCAGTCTAGTGAACATTTTGGGCTTGTTTGAAAATTCAGTTTCCAATGTCATTGTGCTGACCGTTGTACCGTTTTGCTTGTTGCAGGCGGCCTGCTCCAGGGCATGCCCTCGCTCGCGGCCGCGGCCTCTGGACTCGGCGGCGGCGTGGTGCCCGGCGGCGTCGCCCCCGGTGCGCCCGGCGGCGTCCCCGGCGTCCCCGGCGCGGCCGGCGGCAAGGCGGCGGCCCCCATCGACTACTCGCGCTACGTGAAGCGCTTCAGCTCGGCGCTCGAGTGCGGCCGCGCCTTCTGCAAGGACCTCAACTACAGGTGAGTCAGCCACTCTGCGGGCTCACACGTTTACGGCCCTCGGCCCTGTTGAGCGGCGCCGGCTCAATTGGGGGTTGCGGCGTTGGTGTAGGAATAATAATAATAAAAAGTGTTTTGGCCGCGGTGCGTGTAAGTGATGGCTGACCACTCTGGCGAACACGCGCACGCTCACACACACACGCACGGGGAAGTGGTGGCGGCGCCCCTTTTGTGGCGGCCTATCAACTCGTAAAGGAGCCGTGTGGTGGAAGGGAGGGTGGGAGAGAGGGCCTACGCGTGAGATAGAAAATGTGTGTGTGTGTGTGGAGAGAGGGGGAGGGGGAAAGACGGGGTGGGGGAGGGGGGAGTGTTGACCCAAATTAGCCTAGCGACACATCAATTCACAAGCATGAAAATGAAGCCGCGGTGCACGGCGGTGGTCGGCCCATGGCCCATTGTGCTGTCGCGGTCCCGCGGCCCGCCCCGTGTGCTGTGCAGCCGTGCTGTGCAGTGCAGCCCCGCTCTAATACGGTATCATATCCCATCCCGCCGGCGGATGCGCCGGGGATGCACCGCTGGGGCAGGTCAGGTCCGCGGGGCCATTATTATTGATCGCCGGACCGAAACCATAAACAGAATGCGTTTGTATTGACAACTGCTTGCATGCCGTCCGGGGCCATCTCCACGGCATTCCCTGCGCATGCTATATATTTTATTTCGAGAGGAGCTGATTGCCCGACGCGGTGTGCCGTGCCGGGTTCTCACACCTCTATACCCCCCGGCCAGCCAGCGCGCTTCCCTCGATATGAAGTTGTTGCCATTTCGTTTAGATAAGGCCTGGCCTGGCTTTGCTCGCCAGAGTTGCGAATAAAAAATAAAGCAAAAAAAAAATATATAAGGAAGGTATCGCGATTTTTTTTCTTGCCGACTACGGTCGTCTTTCTATGCTCCCTGGCGCGCGCTCGGGTCGGTGGGATGCCGGAGGGGTCTGGCGAGACGCGCTGCAGCGAGGCGCAGGTTGCTGGGGGCAAAGTGTCTTCTTTAGCAAAGAAAGATGCGTTCTGCTGGTCGCCGTGAGAGAAAAAAAATCACATACGGGCAAGAATTATTACTCCCTATTATCTCTAATGTGAATCGGAAGAATGTGAATTGCGGCGGGAAGGGAAGAAAGTGCGGCACATATGTGAATCGATACGATTCTTCGCGGGCGACCAAAGTCTCCTAACCAAAAATCGTCTCGTGTTTCAGGGAGCACTTCCACTGCATCGAGTGCAACTCGCGTGTCTTCGTCAAAAAGGAGGAGATGATACGGCACTTCAAGTGGCACAAGAAGCGCGCCGAGAGCCTGGCGCACGGCTTCATGCGGTACTCGCCCAACGACGACTGCTCGGACCGGTATCGGGAGTGCTCGCACAACCGCAAGCAGACGCACTACCACTGCATCAAGGAGAACTGCGACAAGGTGTACATCAGCACGTCGGACGTGCAGATGCACGCCAACTACCACCGCAAGGACTCGGCCATCATCCAGGAGGGCTTCCAGCGCTTCCGCGCCACCGAGGAGTGCCGCACCGAGTACTGCGTGTTCTTCGGCCAGCGCACCACGCACTTCCACTGCCGGCGCGACGGCTGCAAGTACACGTTCAAGAACAAGGCGGATATGGGTAAGAATGGCTCATCTCTCATAGAGGAAGGGCAATTTTTAACCCTAAAGATTGTCGATTAACATCGTGTTTGTTTTCTCCCCCCTACAGAAAAGCACAAGACGTACCACATCAAAGACGAGCAGTTGACGCGGGACGGCTTCAAGAAGTTCATGAAGCAGGACCCCTGCCCGTTCGAAGGCTGCCGTTTCTCCGGCAACTGCAACCACATCCACTGCATCCGCTCGGGCTGCTCGTACGTGCTGCACTCGAGCGGCCAGCTCTTCTCGCACAAGCGCAAGCACGAGCGCAAGGACTCGGAGCTGGCCTACCGCAAGTACAAGCTGGCCCAGTCCATGATGAAGTCGCTGGTGGACGGGCAGGCGTTCGCCGACCAGTTCAGCGCCGGCATGGGCGACGAGGCCGTCAACGTGAACGCGCTGCACTCGCTGATGGCGGGGCTGGGCGGACAGCCCGGCGCAGCGCCTCAGCACGGCGCCGACCCCGCGGACGCCAACGGCCGCTCGCTGTCACCGGGACAGGGTAGCCAGGGTGGCCCCGGCGCGCCGCCGCCGCACCCGCTGCTCGCGTTGCAGCAGCACATGCCCGCCTTCATGCTGCCGCCGCCCTACATGCTGCCCCAGGACGGCGACAAGGCCGCCGCCGACACTCCCACCGACCTGACCAGGTCGTCGCCGACCCCGGAGCAGCACCAGCAGGCCCCCTCCTGGCACACTCCGCAGTCGGTGCCGCCGGCGCCGCAGCAGTCCCCGCAGCCCGCGCAGCCGCAGGCCAACGCCCCGGTAAGTGACGTCGCGAGGCTGATCCCGGAGGTGCAGCCCCCCCTCGCCCCGCTCCGTGCTCACGGTCGGCATCTTGTCCCGCAGGAGGAGGCGCTGTGGCAGCGCGTGTCGTGGCGCTTCGCGGGCGCCGAGCGCTGCCCGCAGGTGTCGCCCGGGTGCGAGCTGGCGGGCCGCGAGCACTGGCACTGCCGCGCCGAGGGCTGCGCCATGGTGCTGCGCGCCCGGGAGGCCGTGCTGGAGCACGCGCGCAACCACGACGCGCAGGACCAGGTGAGCGAGGCCTACTACGTGACGGTGGGGCCCGCCGGCAGCAGCTCGCCCAGGGCCGCCAGCACCGAGGGCAAGTGTCACTGCGACCAGGACTGCCCGTACCAGGACAAGGAGAAACACTACCACTGCACCTGGGTGAGTACACGACGACATTAAGCATCTCCGCAGGGCAGCCACGACTGGCAAAGCTTAACTGACCCTGTCCCTTAGGACAACTGCCGCGAGATCATCCTGCCCACGGACAAGCCGTTCCGCCGGCTGGACCACTACAAGATGCACGAGTACTCGCGGAAGCTGTCGCAGAGTCGCGACCCGCTCACCACGATGCACCTGGCCTCCTCCATCGACGCCATGTTCCGCCGCAAGCGCGGTCGGCCGCCAAAGAACCGCGTCATCGAAGTGTGGAACGACTATGTGAGTATGCTGCCCCCGCCCCACCCCCGGCCCTTATGTGGCGTGAGGCCCGCCGCCTGAAGGAGAAGGAGGAGGGAAGGAGAGTAGGCAGAGGTCCTGACGTGGTCCTGACGGCGCCCTGGGCGTGCTTCCAGATGTCCGGCCCTCCCGGCTCCTCCATGCCAGACACCCCGCAGGCCATCTTCACCAGCTTCAAGCTGCCCAAGCCCTCGGCCCCCGCCGCCGGCCCCCGGCAGTCTCCCCTGCAGCAGCAGCTGCAGCAGCTGCACCACCAGGGGCCTTCCCAGCCCCCGCCGTCCATGTTCGGCCCGGCAGCCTCCCCTCCTGCCCCTGAGGACGACGCCCACAACAGGGCCTCCTCGCCGGTAAGCTGCCTGCCGGTCGGCCCCGCGAGTCGGATGGGCTGCCTACCCTCCCGGCGCTCCTCCCCTCCTCTCCTTCTCCCCGCGCCCCGCTAACGCCCCGCTAACGCCCCGTCCAGCGACTAACACGCCCGACTCGCACCCCACGATGCTGACCACCCTCTTGTCCCCTTGCAGAACACGCTGGAGCTGCTGCAGGAGGGCTTCATGCTGTTCGAGCAGGGCGAGGGCTCGCGCTGCGGCGACGCGCTCTGCTCGCTGTCGGGCCGGCGCCACTTCCACTGCAAGCAGCCGCGCTGCTTCTACGCCACGGACCGCGAGGACGTGCTGCTCATGCACGCCCGCGACTTCCACGACAACATCGACATCCTGCCGGGCTTTGTGTTCTTCGACCGCAGCATCGACTGCCGCCTGCCAGGCTGCCCCAGGTAAGCGCCGCGCCCGCCGCCGTCGCTACCCCTTCCCGCTATTGCCGTGCGCTCAGCAGCCCTCTCTCTCTCTGCAGCAACCGCGCCAACAGGCACTTCCACTGCGCCCGGCCCGCGTGCGGATACTCGTTCGTGCGCTACTCCAACATGGCCCAGCACGAGGCCAAGCACCGCGGCGAGGCCAACAACAACAACCAGGATGGCGACGCGAAGGCGGACATGGGCGCCAACACCCCGCTCAGAGAGAGTGAGTACCTCGGCCGCCGCACGGCGCAGCACAGCCGAGCTAGCGGTGCAAGTGCAGCAGGACTCACCCCAAACTCTGGTTTGCAGTGTCTCCAGTGGGCAGCGCTGTCATGTCCCCGGCGACGGGCCCGGGGCCCGCGGGGACACCCCCCACCACCACGCCCGGGACACCCTCCCCGGCGCCGGGCACCCCCCGGTCCAGGCCGCCCAGCATCCCTCACCAGCTCGAGCAGTCCCGTGCCACAGGTAGGCAACCCCAACGCTAACGCACTCGCACAGCACCGCCCAGCATCGCACTGCTTGTCGAACCTCGCCCCTCTGCCGCCAGAAATGTGAGATTGCCATGGGCGGCAGGCTAACCTGACGGTTAGCGTGCCGTGACCAGGAAGCGGTATAGGCAAGAGAGGGTGCGTCTCGTTTGACGAAACGTAGATTATTTCGGTAGTGGTTCTTTTCTCAAAGTTAGCCGCAGGCAAGATTGGCAGTGCATGGTAATTTCAATACAGTAGTAATTTAAGTAGTTGGCTTAGGCACGAGTATTTTACTTTATGGACCTTTTCTTGCACAATATGTGAAAAGAAAACGTAGAGTTTGTTACCCTTGAGCTTTGTTGCCGAGCCGTCTTCAGCATGATCATTAGTGTGAAGCGGAGTTATTATTAAAAAAAGTACCTGGACACGCTTCACCCTACAGCCCGAAATCAATTTTTAGTTCCCCCATTAAATATACAGCACATGTTTGCTGCGAAACTGTGAGGGGTACGCACTGCGCCTGTGGCACCCCTTTCACCCCCCACTTACACTCTTTTCGACACCCCCGCTCACTTACACTCTTTTTTCTCTCTCTTCTTGTTTCAAGTGGTGAGGGCATCCGGCACTTTCTACCCCCTGTCTGCGTTCTCGTGCAGTAGCAGCGCAAGTGGCGCAATCGGTGGTGGCGGTGGTTCAAAGCCCCTAGCCCCTCCCGCGGGGCCCGGGGGGCCCTGCGCGACGCCCCCCGCCCCCAAGTCCTCCCCTTCTCTGCCCCCATCCCCGTCCGCTCCCTTCTCCCACGTCCCGAACCCTGCCCTGCTGGAGCGAAGGCACCACTTCGTCGCAGGTGGGTCACCCTACACGCAGTAAGGGTCAAAGCCTTGTAGATCTGCAGCTGGGAATGGATCAAACAGCCGATCCGCGACGCCCGATGCGAACTAGTGGCGCTGGGTTGTGCTTCTGCTATTCGTTCCATTCCCGGCTGCCGGCACTGATTCGATCCGAATTGGCTCGCCCCGGGCGCCCCGGGCAGTGTGTCATTGGCTAGCGTCCGTTGTAGCCGTGTCTCGCATGGAGTGTCGGGTCTCCCTCCCCTCGCACGTAGTGCCCTGTCCACTTGCACGCCTCCGCCAGCACACGCCTAACCTCGCTCTGTTGCTTCCCTTTTGCAGACATCGTCAAGACTGATCCCGACGCGTCCGGCCCGGGCGGCCACTCGCTGGCGCGCCTGCTGCAGCAACACGCCGAGGCTGGCGGTGGCGGCGGCCTGGCGCCCGTGCCGCCGTCCCCCACGGGGCTGCAGGGCGCGCCGGGCCCGCCGGCGCCCACCCCGCCGCAGCACGCGCCCGGCGCCCACACCCTCCCCGAGTGGATGTCCCCCGACCGACACATGCGCTACGGCCCGGAGCAGAGCTGCTCGCGGCCCTTCTGCAAGCTCAAGCGCAAGGAGCACTACCACTGCAACGCTTGCAACCAGGCCTTCTCCGAGCTGGAGCGGCTGCGGCCGCACATCGCCAAGCACTCGACGGGTGCGCTGTCGCCCGGGACGCCCCTCAAGCGCGAGGGTGCGGCCACGCCCGAGGACAGCAACGACCACGACAGCAACGAGCAGCAGCCGTCGCCCGCCGAGCACTCGCTGGCCGCCGCCGCGGCGCTGGGCATGCCGTCGCAGGCCGCCGCCATGGGGGGCGTCGCGCTAGGCATGCCTCCGCACGGCGCGCTGCACGGCCACGGCTCGCCCTTCCCGCAGCACCACTTCAACGCGGCCATGGCCGCCGCCGTGGCCAACCAGCAGCTGGCCCTCATGACCTCCCAGGGGCTGCCGTACCTCCAGCACGGCATGCCCGCCATCTACTCGTCGCCCTCCGGACTCATGTTCGGAGTGTCGCCCTCGGGCTTCGGCGGCCCGCACCCCCTCACCTCCAACGGGCTCCTGGACCACCGGCTCGACGGCATGGGCGGCGTGCCCGGCGTGCCCGGGCTGCACCAGCACCTCGCGCTCAAGCGCGCCATGTCGCCGCACATCATGCCCGGGCACCAGGACATGAGCCCCGAGGCCAAGAAGGCTCGCATCCAGAACAGCATGCGCATTCTCAAGGACGAGCCTGTACCAGACGGCTACATCAGGTTCAGGTTAGTTTTCCCACCAAAACACGTACATATCGAGATAACGACGGACAGCCGCTTAACCTTTGTTTTGCTTCAGGTTTAACGAGGACTGCAAGTACCCCCACTGCGGCTACAGGGAGCACCAGACGCACTTCCACTGCATGCGCAAGGACTGCGGCTACTCGTTCTGCGACAAGACGCGCTTCGTGCAGCACACGGCGCGCCACGAGCGCCTGGACACGCTCATGGGCGGCGACTTCCAGCAGTTCCGCGCCAACGTGTCCTGCAACCGGCCGGACTGCGTGTACACGTCCACACTGGGCGCCATGCAGAACAAGGCGTCGCACTTCCACTGCCTCAAGTGCGAGTTCGTCTGCACCGACACCAACAAGGTGGTGGCTCACCGGCGACAGCACCAGAAGCTCGACTCTATCATGGCGGCCGGCTTCGAGAAGTTCACACCGTCCCAGCCCTGCCACTCAGAGTCGTGTGCGCACTCCGGCAAGCAGACTCACTACCACTGTCTAAGCTGCCAGTATGCCGTCCTCGGGTTGTCGCAGATGTCCGCCCACAAGTTCCGCCACTTAGAGTAGGGGGCGTCGTGCGTCGTTCCTTGCCGGTGTCCTGCTGACGGCGACCATACCAGTCGGGTGACTTCTGCTCCCGGTCTGCATGTCACAAACGCTATAGTGGGGGCAGGGTTCACCCGACCGGTATTGCTCGACACTCCTACTCGTATCCGTTCCAGTGCCATTTGGCCGTGTGTCTCTGTTAGACCAGACCGGTGATATTCGATTAGATTATGGGGAGACCAAGTCTGTACATTTTACTAAAAAAAAGAGTTTCTGTTATAAACAAAGTGTGTGTATTTCTTGTAGTGATTTTACCTGTACAAAATATGGAAGATAATTACTTAAAATAGTGAACTGTGTACATTGTTTCATCATATTTATTCCTTTTTATGTTAGTTGTTCATATTGGAGCTTGATTTGATGTTTAGATGAAATTGTAGTCAATGTTTTAATCCATGTTTGGTAGTATGCTTGAAAGCATCGTATCACATTATTTATAGTACTAATACTCAATCCTCTCTGTACATAGTATTATGTAGTAACATTTAGGTTTGATTAGTTTCATAATGTATAAAATTATATGTATACAGAAGTATAGATTTTATGAAATGTTATTGATTTTTGACTATGTTGAACTGTAGTCATAAAACACAAGAAGATAGTGACGGTCACATGAATTAATATTTGTTTATGCCCTCATGTGGTATCCTCATCCAAAGAGAAACTGCCTCGGCAGAATTAATCTGTAACCAGCAATTTTGTTTGTGGGTGATTGATGAAACTAGAAAATAAGTGAAGTTATTGCTTAGCAAATATTACTATTATTATTGATATGTTTATTTAAGTGCATAGCACTTTTAGCCTAGTACACCAGTATACCGGGAATGAAATGATATTTTTGTTTTTCAGCCCACCCATTGTTTACTTAGGATCTTTACCTACACCTTATTTTCAAATTTTTATAATGTACGCCTAATTTTTCAAAAAGGATTGTTTTTCTTTCAAGCTTTGCGTAAAAAAGGCTTAGCTACATTTCCCATTGCTCGATCAATTCTGTTTTTGTAAAATGGGTAAAGAGATAATGATCTCACCCGCTTGCCATATGTCAGACAAGTACTGGGATTTATCACAGTTTACGCATAGGTCTTTTGAGAACCAAGTATGAAAGTGAAGCGCTCTTATTACTCAGCTTGTGCTCATTGACTGTGTGATTACATTGGAGGAGGGTGTACTACGACTGATTCTAAAGCTTTGATTCTACCTTATGACTCATTTCATCCAAAGAGATCTGGTAATTCTGTCATGTGGGGTTTGTAGTAAGGTTTACAAATGCTTCATCAATCTAGGGCATGTAGCAGATTATTTCATCTCCCATATTTTATGATAGTTGCATTCCATGTGTGAAAATGAACAGATGTGTGTCTGAGAGTGAATGAATGTATATAACATTGTAAATTGCCAAAATATTTCAATGGTTTGTTGATATGTTTTCCTTCACTGTGTTTTTATTCTGAGGTAGAGTGAAATCACAATGTGCCATGGTCATCGCCCCATAAGCGAAACCTAAGCACTCAAACTACCTAGTCTTCTTTTAAACGTGTGCCTAAAATTCAGGCCCATTCCAGTTTTATAACTTTCATTGTTAATTCTTTGGGTGTTTCAAAATTAACTGACGTTTTATGAAATGTCTTCTTATCCCATGTTTTAAATGAGCGGGAGTTGTTTGTTTTATTTTTGCAAATGTTAATAGACATACTGATGTACAATGCCACTGTGAAGAGTACATTTATTATTGTACTGTTTGTATAAGCCGTCAGCGGGCGTCTTGTGTTGTTAGAGTTCATGTAGCTGTGATTCTTAAAAGAAAAAAATGAATACAAGTATTCTATTTATAAATAGTAGTACGCTTTCTTGCAACTCATCTCTCTTGCATAAACTTTTCCCCAGCTTTTTCCCACAATCTCCGTCAAATAATCAGAGTTATAACAAAAATTTCAAAGGTCGGTGATGTAGCCCACTGCCGCCTCGGAGGCACTGGCGGCGAAAGGTCCTAGCTTAGCGGAGAGACGACTTTTTAAACGTTATATTTGCTTGAATGAAAAATTGAGAGCAAGCAGAATGGCGTAGTGCTTAACCACGACGCAATCCGAGCGAAAAGTGCCCCTATTATCCTGCTCTAAACGCCGCGGGGTGTAGCACATTAATAGTTCTGACGGCCTGGGATGACCTACCCTGACGGTAGCGCCTGCAACGCACTGAGTAGGCCAACCCGCCGCGCAGCTATGTGGAGCCGCCGGCCCGCCCTGAGCGCCTGCCCGCCCGATGCTATGTTTCCTAATAACTTCACTCGCAGAGCTTAGGGAATCGTTCACACTCTCCAACGTGCATCTTCGAGTCGAGAGAGCCAAAATGTGCTGGTAACCAATTGGGCAATTTAAGCATTTACGGCACCGAGCGGACTTCGTGTATTTAGATTGTCCGACCTATTTTTCTCCGACCTGGTAACTTTTACAAAATCCCCCAAAGTGCTATCCAACCTAGGTTTTTTACGACATATTTTTTCCGACCTCGTTGATATGCTGAAATTTGGGAATGGCCGTCGGAAGTGGGGTGCAGGGGGGGGGCGACTCGCCCCCCCTAGAATATTCTAGGGGGGGCGCCGCCCCCCCCCAGAATTTCAAGAAATATTAGGGAGAAAGCAAGGTTTTCCCGTGGCACATAGTGGTCATTCAGTGCACCGAGAGAAGCTATTAGTCCGTATGACTAAATTCGTGTTGAAGGGAACAAAATTTACTCCCTAAATCCAACAAAACGTTTAATCAAGCACTTACAATTAAATGTGATTAGCTCAACCAAAAGTATTGTCAAACTGATTACTTTATATCGACCTGACTAAATTATCCAATCAACACGATTGAAATTTGGTCGACGGAAACAAAATTTCGTTGGTTTTCTCAACACTAAAATTCGTTGAGTTGAACCAGTCGGTTTTCTGAGTGTGTGTTGAGACGTATAACAAAGTCTTGCTTGCGCGTTCAACCATATGGGCGACCATGGCTGTCCCACACTGCATTCTGCTTCATGTCCACTAGAAACGGACACTGAAACTAATGTCGATTCTGATGAGGGCAGGACACTATAAGAAAGACGCAGAGTGTTTGGGACATTTTGTGCAAAAAAATCGTTGGAGAACACTATATCTTACGGAAAGATAAAGAAAATACAAAACCAATTAGTAGTGATTAAATCATTAAAATTTTGTTCAAAAATCCCCCCCCCCCCCGCTTTTCACGCTTTTCATCTAAGTTGGCCCCCCCTACCGAAAAACACTGCCGACGGCCCTGTTGGGAAGAATGTGCTTCAAAGAGGAACAGGCTTCGAAAATAAATAAAAATAAAAATGGGGGAGTACTTTCCTCATCCCACCGCAGGACGACTTCTGAGTTCGTAAAGGGATCAGCCGAACCGCACTAGTCAGAACATACTCCCGGGGTTTGTGAAACGGTTGACGCGTAGGTCTGTTAAACTGTACTGACCCACCAAAGGTCATGAAGCTCCTTTAAAGCCAGATTCACAGGTCTTATTAGTGCACCTGCCACCACATCAGGTGCCAGGCAACAGGGAACTCCCACGCCCCGCTTTTGCCGTGCGTCGAAACCCGGCCCAGAGTCGAATCATTTGCCACCTTCGACCATGGTCGAACCGAACCGAAAGCGTACTGTGGTCGCTCTGTTCGTCTCGGAGCGACTTGAAAACATACTCAGGTCACTCTGTCCGCGCATGGAGCGACTCGATGACGGACAAAGGTCGCTCCGGCGCGAACCTCGGCGAATGTTGGCGATACGTCGCCCAGGAGCCTGACGAACCTCGGCGACCCATCGGCGCACCGAGCGCGACCCTCCGCGAACCGATAGCGTACCGAAAGCATACCAAAAGCAAACAAATCTTTTTGCGTCGAGCAAGACAGGACGGGAACCACTGCGCCGTTGGAACTCCACGAGAGGGGCGTGGTGAAATGACGGGTTTGAAGTCCATTTGAAATTAAGTGGCCTGAGAAAAATTTCAGATCATAAACAACCACACAGAATTAACGCAGTCACGCACGATCTGAAACAATCACACACAATCGACGTGCAATTTGCCTATTAAAATTGTGGAGATTTTTACTGTATCGGAATTACCTGAATTCTTTTTAGGTAAATCAGAAACAAACAGCAGCTGTTAAAAGTACCTCTAGAGAGGTGAAGCTCAATAGAGATAAAACTGAAGTTCTGTTTCCTTGAGGTGAATGCCGTGCAGGCATTTTTACAATTAATATCTTAAAAGGTGAATTCGATAGAGTTGTGTTTACAGATAATATCTTAGAGGTCAAATGCTTCGCCTCTTCCCGTACAGAAATATATAGATCTTAATGACTGTCTTGAGCCGAGATACTTTAAAGACGCATTTGAGATGCTGTGGAGAATTACTCGAGACTGTACAGAGACAGTTTATGAGCCGCAATCGACGTTGACAAGACTGCGTCGTGACAATTTGGAGATATTCCACAAATGTCTCGAGAAAGTCTCAAAAACGTCTCGTTTTGGTAACGTTGCAGAGAAAGAATCGAAATGTTTCCTAGAGACAGTAGTTTGGAGGCATTCTCGAGACGGAATGAATGAAAATGGCGCCAGAAAAATGAAAAACAGACGACGGCCCCGTGCGTGAGTCAAACCGAGAACCTTCCGCTTTCCGTCGTTTGCCAGGGCAACGGCGGTGATGAGAGCCACATCGTGGTGCCCGGCAGGCCACCTACGTGAGCCTGATCACAAGGCACAAGGCACAAGGCAGGCGCGCGGCAGAACAAGGGGCAGAGCCAGCGGCAAAGCCAGGGGGAAAGACAAGGGCAGAGCCGCGGTCAAAGCCGGGGTCAGTGCCGCGGACAGTACGGGGCCAGGGGCAGAGCCGAGCAGTCCTTCACTATGAAGACAAGCGTACACCATACTTTTTCTGTTTTTCCTTGATTTTCTTCTGATTTTTAAAGCATTTCTTTGTTGTTTTTGTCAGATTGTTCAATGTTTCTTTCTGAATTTGTAAATACTTTTTTTTAACAAATTTTCCAGATTTTTTTCTTAATTTTCCCGTAGAGTTTCATGATTTCTTTAAAATGATTCTTTCAAGGGGTGTACACTGTCAGTGAAGGCCCTCGGGCAGAGCCGGGCAGGCCGCAAAGCCGCGCGCAGAGCCGGGGGCAGAGCTGCTGGCGGCATAGCCATAGGCAGAGCACGTGCACACGCCTTGTGCCAATTTTAAAAAAATATTGTTATAAAATATCCAAGTATTTTCTTAGAGCATTTGAGTTCTAATGTTCATAACAAGTTTTCAGGATAAAATTGACGACAAAATTGACGATTTATTGTCAAAAATAGAGATTTTTTTCCAGTGAAGTTTCTGCCCTAAATTCAATAATATGACTGTTTGGTCACTATTCTGCGATACTTAGAAAAGAACATTATTAATTTTACTGTAAAGATTCAGTGACATTAACGAGTAGCTGAGGGAAATTCAAACATCAACTAAACACAAGCTGTTGACAACTACTGAACTCTAGGAAACCGGATTAAACTGCAATTGAAAATTCAAAACATTTAGGAACGACAAACAATAATACTCGATGTTCAAAAATCGTAGTTTAAACAACATGTTTTTATTGTTACCAAACTGAGTACGACGTGTTAATGCAAACTGTCATTACAGGGTGCCGCAAGCTCAGCCGCTCCCGAAGGAGGCCTGCTAGTAAACTATTATCCATAGAGTCTCAAATTCTTCAAATTCTCAAATCTTAAATATGTCTGTACAGTATTTCTAAACTACGACCCTTATGAAACGAAATTATTCCGAAACTTATCCTAGATAGTCGATCCCTTGACTTCCTGATGGGTTTTGTCCTGTAACAAGCCGGGCAGACTCTTTCGCGTAACGTAACGGCTTCCGACTTCTATCGCGAGTTTAGTATAATAAAATTAACCAGAAAATATTTGCAAACCCTGGATCCGGTGTGCAAAAGTGCTCGTCGGCGGGTGGTGGCTGGACGTGGAGCTGGGGTGGCAAAGGAGAGCTGGGCAGCCGGAAACGGAGCCGAGGGTGGCGAGAAAAGTTCGAAGTAGTTACCGTTCAAACTTCCAACAACTTAAACTACACCCAAAAAACTGACCCCCTGTAGCTGACCCTGATGTTTCAAGACACCGACGGCCAGTGCAGACCTATTTTTCTGTTTTACCGTTGCATGGCATGGAGAGCGGGAGCAGACTGCGGTTCGCACAGCGTGTGGCGCAGAGGGAGGTGCAGGGCCGACGGGCCGACCCACGCAGAGCGGCACCCTCACGTCAGGCCTAAGGTAAAGGCGCACGGGGGCGAGCCGCGCACTGAGGCGACGGAGAGCACCTCTTGTACCAGAGTGCACAGTGTACAGGACGTGACACGGGCCGCTGAGTCTGAGCGAGGGCAAAACACTGTGAAAAATATGTTCGTACGATATATTTTCTAAACAAAAAAATTACGAAACGAGTCATACATACACAAACCTCCCACTTCTTGCTCGATTCCAAGTCGATATGCAGTGCTCGTAAATTTACAACTATGAATTGTAATTATACGACAGTTGTCATGTACCCGGTACGACAGTGAAGGGCATCGAAAACGAGTTATGATTTTGGGAGAGGCGGAGAGGCTATGCTGGGATCACTCACCTCTTAGTAGGTTCAACGAACTGATCACATCGGCAGGGACTTCCAATAAATTCGCAGGCTGTCAATTGGGGAGGGAAGCTTTTCAGGTCCTTTCACCAATGTGCGGCGTAGCACACGGTACTTCTACGCCTGTGACTTCTCCAGGAGGCGAACATGTAAAAAACATCAACAAATCAATAATTTATTTTTGTCTTAATTTTTTTAGCAGCTGATACCTTACACTGAGACTAAACATAAGTGTATGTAAGTAGTGAGGTGTCAGAAGCTGTAACGCTCGTAAATGAAAGAGTAAAGGATAAAGAACCCATTATTTCTAGTATAGTGACAAGCGAGGACAGCGGATTAAAAGCAAGCCGTAAACGAATACTATGGAGATAGACATTACTGCACAGACACAATTCTGTAGTGGGTGGCCGCCTATACACAGGACAGTGCGTAAAGTTGCGTACGCGCCGGGCGCTGGCAGCCGGCCCCTTCCATCGCTCCCGCCGCTAGAGTCTTTCTAGTGGCGATTAGCGCGGCGGGAACAGGAGGCTACCAAATGGGGGGGGGGGGGGGGCGTATCCGCGAGTGCCCCAGGCGCTATTGGGGTTAATCTGCTACGCACCCTCGCGAAGGGCGCAGCCCACCCCGCGTCCTCGCACTACCCCCGCGGAGGGGTTGCGCGACGTGCCCACGCTAAAGACTAGACCTACCTCCTCGAAGGACGCGGCCTACTCCCGCGAGGGTAACGCGAAGCCTCGTGGGTACGTCGCGCAACACCTCCGCAGGGGTAGCCCGAGGTCCCCAACTCTACAAATAATTTCTCAATACAGGAAAAAAGTAGAACATGCCTTAATCATAAATTTGTTGGCTGAGCGATTAGCGAAGCCTATTACTCCAGTGATGATCAAAAAGTTTCGCGTCTGTCTGTGTGTCTGTCTGTCTGTACGCACGATAACTCGAGAACGAATTGAGCTAGCAACCTGGGATTTTCAGGGTAGTTTTGTGTCATAAAAAGACAGATCAAGTTCGAAGAAGAGCATTCTAGCTCAAAACTTGGATTTAAAAAAAATCAAAAACCACAGGTCCCTCAAATAATGTTTTTTTTTTTAATATTTTTTTGCAGTTTCCTAAGGAGAACCTCATGAAAGTGGGCCCTCTGAGCGAAAATTTCGTCCGTTTGGCTCTATCTTTACCCATTTAGGCGCCACAGGGAGTTTTCGACGAAAACAAGCTAAAAAATGTACAACCCTGCATGCTTAGTCGAAGTAAGGGGAAGTTGACGGGCCGAAGGCCCGTTTCTTTGTGTACATTTTTGCGCTACCCGACTCGGGTATCAGCGCCGCAGGCCTAGGTAGATGTATGCCAGGCGCGTCACAGCGCAACAGTGTTTCGTGAGATATCGCGAAGCCTGTTACGCGAGAAGTGGTCTGGCGTACATCTACCTAGTATGATTTCCTTTAAGATCTATTCTTGATTGGATTTTTTTCCTTCTTTCTGTGAAATGCCGGCAAGATAATTCAAAGAATTTAAAATTTATGGCCTGGAGCGAGGGGGAAATCACTTGGGTTCGTAGCGTACGGACTATTTCCTGACATTCTCCTGCGGCATTTCATATATTTCATGGTTATTTCGGATTATTTTGGTGTATGTCGCAGTATGTCGCAGTATTTCGGAGGTATTTCGCGCCAATACAATAGGTTCGCAACATGTGGCTAACTTTCAGGGCGTCCTCTTGTAGCTAAAATCCGGTCCCAATCTGCCAGCTTCCAGAGGGACATTACTGAATTTCGCAAGAGATTTCCTCCTCCGCCTGGAGGCCCGAAAAGATAACACGGTGCCCGCCACAGAGTACGCACTTCTTACTGAATACATGGCCAAGTACGCATTAGATACCGAATACCAACAAGTACCCAATATACCTCCTGCATTCTGTAACGTGCGCTTCTGTCAGGCTACATGTACTAAGTTGGCCTACTCGCGCTCAGTGTGAAGCAAAGTATGGTATAGTGACGTGAGTTGTGGCTTGTGCGCCACAGATGAATGAGCCTCACCAAAAACCTTATCACTAATACACTGCAGAAAGTTTATTTATAAAACAATGACAAGTAGTTAGTGAAAACACACATTTTTCGGCCAAACGCTGTCTGGCAGTTCCTATATCTGAGCACCTTGCCCCGCCACAACAAGCTCAATCAGGATCTGGCCGCCAAGAAGTGCGAAATTTTCAATCAAAGGGAACTGCTTTGTTGTGAGAAGTGCGATGTTCTGCTCCTGCCCCTTGACGGCTGCGCCAAGAAGGCGTACGAAGGCAGCCCGAATGGCCTTGCGGATTTCTGGTTTGGCCGCTGCTGCTTGCTAGAAAAAGTACGAAACGTGTGCTTTCAAAGAACCAAATGACACCTAGTTATGTTTAATGGTTGAGCAAGAATACCTTGGTGGCGGCCTGGAATGCATTCAGGTATCCACGACGGTACTCGGCATTGATCTCAATAACGTGATTTTCCCAGTTGGTCAACAGCGCTATCTTGTCTTTGCGAAGTTGAACGACCTGGTTCTCGTTTGCAACAGCAGCAGCCTGGAAAGTGAAAATAAAATCGTCGAATATTACATCATAAGACTTAACTTTATGGAAGAACGATTGCGCGGTTGTGCTCTTACATCGAAATGATTGTCCTTTCAGATTAGCGTAAAAGTTTCCAAATTGCCATTATTTGCCAAGGTAACACAGAGAAGCTTGTTATTTTGGCACGTACGACGTACTATCATCTTTCTGAGCACAGAAGGCAAACAGCTCTTCAGGTGTGCGGGTAAACAACTCTTTCCTTGTTGTTACAGTCAGCTTTTTTAAAATTAAAAATGTTGAACAAAGGCGGAACAAGTGGTTAGATTTTTGTTGGCGTTAGCACTGAAGAAGATAGTTGGTATTCTACAATTACAGTGCTCAAAAAGATATTTGCTTGTACATGGATGTCTGGATGTGCAGTATTGATTAGTTTTCAACGGTGTTTTATTTTACTTACCGGCGAGGTCTGCAGAGTGCGGAGCACTTTGGCGTACCTGTTGACAAGGTTTGTGACCTCCTGTCCCTGACGCGTTTTCAGTGCGTCGGCGAGTGAGTTCGACTTAGCAAGCCACGTTCCGAGCTGACCAAAGGCCTTGATGGAGAAACATTGGAATGTTGGAGAAAGCGCATTTTAGGAAAGCTTATTCTTATCCGATGATCCTCAACCTTAGTGATAGCTGCATTGACTTCAGTGGACTGTCCCTTGACGACGGCGGCCTGCAGATCAGCCACCTGCTTCCTCTGGGTTGTCAACGCATCGGTCCACTGCTTGTTAAGAACGGCAGGAATAGCATTCCCCGCCTTCAGGATCTGCTGCTCTGCAGCAGAACTAGCCCCCTGCAACAACAACGGAAATTTTCGTAGACAGTTGAAACTAGTCGACTAGTTTGAAAAGTTACAAGCAGCTCCTTAAAATACATTTTATAATTATTTTTAAGAGGCTCACCTCAACGGCCGCACACGCGATGAGCACAACAAGGGCAGTGAAGGTTGCCATATTGGGACTGAACACAGACCAGGCTTGTCGTGGCTCATATATACAGTATAACACGTTGTGGTAATAAAATTTACGGCAGCTTCACGTTTTTAAGTTGTTAACGTTACACGAGCTATATTAATTTTAGGAACGAACTGTATGGTGTACTCTAGCGACACGTCATGTTCAGGCGCGGTTTTAAGAGAACAGCGACAGAGAAAGCGAAAACCTTTGAGGTTTATGATTCGAGGACCATAAAGAGCACATAATTGTACAACTGTCGTACAACTGTCGAAATAAAAAGAACTATCGGTGCAATTTACGAGATGAGAAAATAAAACTATCGCTAAACTTGACGTTTTTTTGTGGTCCTCGAACCGAAAACCTTTGTCAGCCAACTACATATTCAACTTTGAAGAGTCATGTTCCGTTCCATGCGTCTCCAATTTTGGCGTAAAAAAAACAACACAAAAAAACTTTGACACAATTTTTCATGAACAGAAGGGCTCATTCTTCAACTTCAAGGTCGAATTTTGTGTCAATATTCCTCCCGTCATCATACTGAAATTTTAATTTTTTGGTGAGCGAAAAATTTTACTCTGTTTGTATAACTCAAGAAGGAATTGAGATAGCGATCTGGGAATTTCAGGGTCGTTTTTTTATCATAAAAAGACAGATCGAGTCCAGAGATGGGCATTCTAGTTTAAAAATTTACCTCTTTAAAAATTAAAAAAAAAAAAACAGGCCGCAAAATATATCTATATTTTTAGGTCCTCCTAAGGGGTAACTCGGAAAAGTAGAAACCTTTAGTCGAAAATTTCGTCCGTTTGGCTCTATCTCGCACCGTTTGGCTAGCGGGCATATTTCTTGATAATAATCCGAAAATTAGCAAATGGCTTATTTAATCTGTCTAAAAAGGTTCGTATCGAAAAACTGTTGAGGAAGTAGGCCCTCCCCCTAAAACCACACATTTTTAGTCGAAATAGACTAGGGTTCTAGGTGCCCCTTGACCTCTTCCTATCACGAAAAAGTTGGTTATTACGTCAGAATCTTACAAAATTGGGACTTAAAATGTTATTTTTTGCAGTTTAGCTCTAGTCTAGTTTCGCACATTTTGAAGTGATAACCATGACACTCGATGTTGGGACATACAATTTGGGGCCGTAAGTTATCCTCTAGCTTGCATCCGTGTCAGTGCCACAGGCCTAGTACAGGTGCGTCGCAGCGTAATAGTGTTACGTGAGATATCGCGAACCCTGTTACGCGATACGTGGTCTGGCGTACATTAAGCTAGTTCACAAAGCTAAAATTACTACTATATCTACTAAAATGCCACAGTAAAAAGACTCATAATACCTCACTCAAAAATAAACCGAGACCTTGAAAGTGTTGACTTACAGAAACGAAGAAACATCCTATCACTATCGCTACAAAACTGTGACGCATGGGAAATTTTTGAGTTCCAAATCAAGCGCTTTAGGATAAACAAAAGCTATGGATTCTTCAAAAACACAAAAAAAACAACATTAGGGGCTTGGCACGGTTTTTTAACTCTGAAAACATCTTTCACAGCCACAAGCAAAAATTTTCCAGAGAGAGGGAGAGAGAAAAACAATTTGGAGTACACTACTTCTTTTACTAAAAGTAAGAATCACTTTTCCCCATTTTCGGCACGTTTTTCAAACTCTGCATAGGTATTTAAATCTCACACTCTATTTGCTGAGTATCCGTTTTATTTGCCCCCGCCCCTGCTACTTTCAGCGATGCCCCCCGCTGACAGTTACATTTACGAGCGATACTCCGCACGGAGAGTTTCTACCCCATGCTACGCCTCGTGGGGTATTGACAAGCTGTGACCTTGACAACGTAGGCAGAGGTTTTTCAAGCGCTAACGGGAGTGCGAGCCCCAACCTAATTTCCTTCACAGATATGATTGTTCATATCTGATGTGAATTTCGACGATAGTAAAGCGTAAAATGATGGGTTACCATAATTTATCAGTGCTTCTGGAACCAAATTCACTGACGGTACATTGACGAGACCAGTCACAGGGCGTAAAGCGGTGGGTTGTGAATAGCAAGACCATGGATTCGTTGCCGAATGAACTATTAATACACATCTTTTCGTTCATTGACGACGGCTTTGACCTGCTTGACAACGTGTCCTTGGTAAGTAGGATATAGTGAATGTATATGAGAGGTTAACGTCTCTCTTGTATGGGTGACCAATCATCACGAAGCTGACTTTTTGGCGGGAAGCTTGAATTTGTAGGACAACTAACAAAAGGCTACAAACTAAACTACGAATTCTACGGCCGACAAAAATACACAACGAATAAAAAAAATCGAATAATAAAAAGCATTCGCTGTTCCACAGCTCATAAACATCTACAATATAAGAATGAACAAAAACATGTGAAAACGATACCATTAATGTTCTCGCGCTCAACCAGGACAGATGAAATATTGTTCCTAATACAAGACTTATTTTATTATTTACCAAACTTGCTTAGTCACTTAATTTCCATAGAATCTAGAATATATAAGAGTTTTACTCCACAAAAAATAGATGTAATACTGATTTCTTTCTAGATATTTTAGGGCAAAACTTTGCGTTTTGTGCTCTAAAATGTGGGAAAAGTTGATTGCCGACAGAAAAAAAGGTTGGTATCATTTGATAACTTTAGGCTATTTATATAGAACGTTTGTACCAAGATTCCCAGTGCGTTTCTACCATTTTGTTCAGTAAATCGTGGAATCTCAGCGCCTGTGAGAGTCAGGGTAGGCTCCCCTGCGGTACACGCATGCACGAAAGGCACGATATTCAAGTATACCTATCAGGGGCCATGTGAAGTTACATTAGCTCACACTTCAAAGGGTGCACTGCAGTGTGGAAAATGTGAAAACGCAAGTTTTACGAGGAAAATTTACGTGTAGTGTGTCGTAAAAGTAGAGTCTCAAATTGTTGGCTAAGCGATAGCGAAGCCTATAACCCCAGTGATGGTCAAAAATATCCGTGTCTGTGTGTGTGTCTGTAATCGCGATAACTCGTCAACAGATTGAACTAGCGACCTGAAATTTTCAGGGTCGTTTCGTTTCAGAAAAAGGCAGATCAAGTTTAATGGTCAGCATTCTAGCTAAAAACTTGACCAGTCAAGAAAATCAAACACAAAAAGCTCCAAAAATGTGTTTTTTTAGTATTTTAATGTTTTATTTTTAGAGGTAACTCGTTCAAGTTGGCCTTAAAGACACCACGGAATTCTTCATCATATGAACGTGAGATTCATAAAATGAACAGTGGTGTTCATATTAGTAGCACAATTTGTTCGTAAGATTTTAAGAGTGTACACTGGAAACGCAACTGTGTTAATATAGCTCACTTGTAGGTGAGCGAATATCCATTCGTACACTTACGGGGGGTAAAAGTGTCAATTTTCGAAGAAAATATATTTAATTGTCGTTCGTTGGGGTAACTTTTTAAAGTAAAAGCCCGTGGACCATAATGTTTGCTTTTTGAGGCCGAGGGCCTCTTTGCGACCCTTCCTTTAGCCCGACTCAGGTGTCAGCGCCGCAGGCCTGAGACAAGTATGCCAGGCGCATCGCAGTGTGATAGTGTTTCGTGGGATGTCGCGAAGCCTATGCGAGACGTGGTCTGGCGTACATCTTACCCACGACTTATAAGTCGTAAAGTACAAAATATGTTGTTAATCTATGACGTGGTGTCATGTTTCCGTTGTTTTATTTATAGAACGGTTGCAGGTTTGCAAACACTGGCTGACAGTGTCTCGCGACCCTCGCGCCTGGTCGGGAGTGGTATTGCGATGGGACAGCAACGATAGGTGCGAGGTCAATGCGAAATCACGTATTTTAGCACACGCGCCGGGTCTGAAGCGGCTCTCGCTCGCCCCAGCCGCTTCTGACAACACCTTGGCCAAAGGGCTAGCAAGATGTCCAGCTGTTCTCTTCAGCGAGGTAACAAACTCCCATCATTTATCAAGGAGCACTTCATTAACCGTGGTTTCCAGACATCCCTCCAAGGCGAAATAATATTCAGAAAATGAGCCCGATTCATCTGTTTTCTGTATAGATCCATGTTGGGTTTGACGTTTGGACGATACGAAATCCTGAGGCTATAACGGGCTTGATGGATTTGCTGTTTCGCAGTCGCTTCCACGTCAACAATGTCTTTATCCAAATGAGCGAGCCAGCCTTGTTCCATGTGGACAGCCAGGGCCAATCGCTGCTCGACATTCTCGCCCGAATGAAGGCAAGTAATAAAGCGATTCGTGACCGAAAGTTTGCGAACATAAAAAAGGCATGGAATAGTGCAATTGCCACAAGAATGATTCCTAACTTTAAAATATAAAATAGGGCCTAACAAAGCTGACTTTGCATTGGTGCGGAGAGTGCGCATACAAAGGTGAACTGTCCTCCGGCCTTCCAAGACTGGAGTACTTAGCCTTTGACGTGGACCGCTGGGGTGATTGTGTACCGAAGACTTTGGTTGTGGACTTACTACGAGGAGCCAGAGGTATGATTTCATAATTATTGTGGGGAATATAAGCAAATACTATTTAGAATTCTGGTATATTCATTCATCAATATGTAGGGGGATTTTAGATCAAATTCAAGAACAATCATTATTATTCGCTCACACTCAGAAGTATTAAAGTTTTGAATATGCTCACTTGTTTATGAAATTACGGAGTTGTGGACCCTGTACATTTACCACAAATCGGAAAAGGGACAGACATCGTCAACTGTTTTTAGAAAATCCCCCACCACTTAAGGCTATGAATTCGTCACTATTACGCAAAGCGTTGTAGACTCGCTGTGTCACTAGTTTACATTTAATCATTAAGTAGAGGCTTTATTTGTAAATAATTGTTATCCTTGTTCGCCAGGTTCTCTAAAAGTTTTCAAGAAGTTTAACGATTGGTGTGATCCCCTCTCAAATTTAGAAATGGATGAGCTTAGACAGTGTGATTGTCTACGCGCTATTCAGTGTCATGAGTCCTGCTTACCTGCACTTCAAGTAAGTAAAGTCAAACTAGGTACACACTCTAATATGTACAAGACACCCTCATACTAGTCAGACATATATGTTTTTGTGGAATACTTTTATAGCAACGCGTATTAATGTAAAACAGCTCGTGTTCAACAATTAGATGTAACGTTGGAAAAGTCGGGGACTGAAAAAACTAGTGTGAAGCATCATTTGTGGCACATTTTTCTTTTTTAAACAGAAATTTGGCAAACACATTAATTGACTAGATTGAAGAAAACAGACTTTTTGCTTACAGAAAGTGTTTGAGCGCTGCAGTTGACACGTTCAGTGCAGCTGCGCAGTGACGGGATCTGATAGAAAAGCACGCGTGAGACCACACTGTGGTCACACCGCACTTACAGTATTAAGAGTGTTATGAAATTATTTTAACTGTTCAATTCCAGGGTCACCCTTGCATCCATGCCCTAGAATTGTCCTGCTCCATCTTAAAAGAAGGACTTCCTGCTGGTATAGCCCGACTACGGACGGCGCTTTTGAAGTTTTGCGTTGAACTAACAAGCTTGAGGAAACTCCAGTTCCATATATATTTGGACCAAAACCTTGATGTAGTTGAGGCGGAATGCAACGAAATAGCTGATTTGTTTAGAAAACTGAGGATTGATGTTTATATGTATGTATATTTCCACGAAGTAGCATCAGATATTATTTAATCTTTTACCAAAACCAAAAAAGGTGAAAGTGTCATGTTAAAATTTAATCTCAGGCAGAGCAATAAAAAGACACCATGTTGTAGGATATACCTCTCTAGTTAAATGTATTTAAATCCCCAAACTTAAACCTGGCTAGTTGGTTTTCACTACTACCTGCATTCTTCATTGTAACTGGGTTTTAATTTTACGACTTTTGGTGGAGGATATCACCAAAAATGATTGGAGCAGAAAAAACATTTTGCTGACCATTTCGGCCGGTATTAGGACTGGCATTGAGAATTAAGCGCCAATTAGCTTGATTCCCGATGACAGTGATGCGCGTCTGCGGCCAATTCCCGTCCGGATGGAAACCGTCCGAGTTACAACGAAAAAGTGGGGAGGGGGGATTCCTACGCCTGACAGCATGGTCGATAGTGAGACACTGACTTACTGGGAACATTAAGGGCAAGAGTTTCAGTGCAGGTGATTCCGAAAACGACTAGGACTCACTAGAGTTCTGTTCAGCCGGCATCGATTGTTAGGGCTAGTGAAAAGCTGTAGTTTAAATACGTACACCAGCAACATGAAAGTGAGCGCGACAGCGAACAATTAGATAATCAGATAACAATGGGATAAATTAGTAGACCACAATCGATTGAACGTAATTGCTGGGAACGAGGCGTCAGTACTCGGCGAAAGCCTGCCGCAGCTTGTCGACCTGTGTTCACTGTCGGGCACATAATAAAGGCCTCTTAAAAAGAAAAACGGGAGAAGGGGCGTGAAGAAAATGAACAGCAACTGTGTTTAGTCACGTCCAAGCAATGAACGCCGTACTTGTGCCAGTAATACTTTCTTTGAGTTTTTTCAGACCTTGTACATTATTGGTAATACATTTACCTTTTGAGGTTCTTTCAATGCTTTATTGCTGTCTAAAGTCACTGCGCTTGTTTTCTTAGCTTCAGGGTAGGGATACTGTTTTGATGCCAAAATCAGGTGTGTCCCAGGAGGTCACCTGTGCTTCGAAATTCCTTTCGAGTTACATCACATTGCCCGGGTAAAACGGCGGTACCTTGGATGAAAAAGTATTTAACGGGCGAAAAATGTAAAGTAATGCGTATGTTCTATAACTGCAGTGGTCCTCGTACCTTATGTCTTTTTGTGCTCGGTAAGTCACACTGGCTCGGGGACTTACTTCGAAATATTCCTGACAGTGTTACGGTCACCCTAAAATGTAAGCGACAGCAAATGCCGCTTGAATGCTCCAGGTGTGAGAGGCAAGTACTGTGTTGCTAAATAACGCAATAAAAAACATGTTATTTGCTCTGGAAACGCAAGTGTGTGAATGTCGCACACTTGTAGGTGTGTGAATGTTGCACACTTGTAGGTGTGTGAATAACCATTTGTACACTTAGGGGGGCAAACGTGGGAATTTTCACACCTTACACGCCTTTACCCCTCTAAGTGTACGAATGGTTATTCACACACCTACAAGTAAGTGACATTCACACACTTGCGTTTCCAGTATGCTCTTTTAACACGTATTTTGCAATGCCTTTTATAATTAGGTGGGATGACAACTTTAACCATGCCTTGGGGACATCAGACAATTTGGTGATGGCTGTGGCGGACTCAGCTCGGGAGTTGGCGTCCGAAATTGATACAGTCGTCCTGCTTCGTCTAACACGGTTGCTGCTATGGACATCCACGAACACGTCAGCCCTTTTCTCTACGACAGACCTCGATATAATTGCCAACGCCTCTCCGTGGTTCTGCCACTGTTTGGTGCGCCTCGCGACAACTGACAAAACAGGCAGCACAGCGTTGTATGAGCTTACTAACACCACGTGCGGCCAACGAGGTAGATGCTTCAAGTTTTGCGTCTCTACTCTGGAAACCCAAGTGTGTACTTGAACGCAGGAAATACTGCGTACTTGTTGGTATTCAGTATTTCCTGCGTACTTGACCATGTATTCGGTATTTCCTGCGTACTTGTCCATGTATTCAGTATTTACTGCGTACTTGTCAAGTACGCAGGAAATACTGAATACATGAGTAGGTACACAGATCACAAGGGATACCTGGTTCGACACCACAGTATTGGTGCGGGAAGTAATAATTTTTAATGAAATGTTGATGGTATTACTAAATACTATTCAAAGTAAAATAATTGTCATAGAAAACTACACAAATTTGTAGTAATATGGCATAGATTCTCTTCTGATTCTTGCTTTCAACTTTTTCACTATTATGTCTCTCAATAAGTTGCGGCTGGAGGCCGAACAGTTCAGCAAATC